AAGATTTCAAAGTATTCAGTTTTGCAATTCTTGATTTATTCATCAAACTAAACTGACTCATTCATTAATTTTTTTTTAGTCATTCTGTATAAGCAAATTTAAAAAATATGAGTATAATGATAAATTACAAGGATAGACTGATCATATTTTAAACATTTTAAATAGGATTTATTCGCGAAAATTTTGAGCTCACGTCATTAATTTTTTAAAGAGGATAAGTAAATATATTTTGATTAACAATGTATCATGCGTATCATAACCTTCAAACATCTGCAAGATTTCAAAACATTCGGTTTTGCAGATTCAAAATTAAATTGCAAAATGTTGTTTCATATTTTTTTTTTCAAAAATCGGGACGTTTCGGATAAAAACTCAACACGGAGTCATAAACTACACGTGTAGGACTATTTTATTTTATACAATTTAAAACCTATTTACTATGTACAATTTTGAACTGACATCATCACATTATTGGTGGGAATAATTAGACAAATTTTGGTTAGCATTTTACCATTTACATGATATTCCTAATATAAATACAAAATTTGACAACAATCGACCCAGTACTTTCGGAGATTATCTATCTAATAAAAATTCGTGACGGTAGACAGACAGACAGACAGACGGACAGATACTCAGACAGATAGACAGACGGAAAAGGGGCACCTATTTCTTCGTACTGTAGAGGTCATGAAAGGTGAGAAAACGTAAAAGTAGAGAGTCGGCCGACGGACTCCATTACAATACTTCCTTCGCTTAGGTTCGGGAAGAAATAGGCGAAATTTTTAAGGAGAAAGATACAATTTTTTCCTTTTCAACAAAATTTAGAAATACTACTAAGCGAAACAAAAAGTTGAATTTTAAGGTAATGAGCCGAATTTACATGATAAATAGAATTATCGAACTAAAAATAATTGGTCGAAGCTTATTTGAAAAGAAGTTCCCTCACCTAAGGCTGTATTTAAGAATACAATTAAAAAAAAATCAGTTTTTTCGAAAAATTATGAAATTGGATTTCACAAAATTTTATTTATTTATTATAAGTAGAAAAACATAGATAATAAAAGTCACAAACAGATAGACAGACTACAGGCAGACGGAAAAAGGGGACCACTGTTTTTGTACGCTAGGGGGTCATGAAACGTCGAGAAAACATAAAAGTAGCTAGTCGCCCATGACCCTTTACAAAAGTATCGAAATTTTGGATTAATAATCACTGTTTTGTAAAGAATTAAATTGCTTATCGCTTTAACAAAACTTAATAATTGTAAGATTGAAACTTTGAATATTTTGAGTTATTAAGATGAATTCGATGCAATGAAGGAGTAAAGTTACAAGTTATAAATTTTGAGTAATTAATTCCTAAATTCAAGTAAAATAAGTCGAAATTTCGAAACAATAAGAAGGTGAAGAAAAAATTTGATTTCGCAATGACGTGATCTACAAGGGAATGTGGCTAATTTTATTTGGTTGATGGAAATTTTCATCTAAGTATTTAATCAAATTACGAATTAGTAAGTGCTAAATTTAATTTTAAGTCGTTAATTCCAAATTTCAAGATAATTTAATCGAAATTTCGAAAAAGTTGCTGCAATTGAAAAAACTTTATTAACCGACTGTCAAGTCGAAATTTCGAGTTACTTATTTTAGAACGATAGGGAAATTTAGACTACGTAAACTGAAATTTCAGTTTGGTCAACTAAAATATCTATTCAAGAAATTAAGTTTTGAATTTTGTCAGGCCGAACTTTCGAGCGATACATCGAAATTTTGGCTTTCTTGGGCAAATTCTAATATAAGAACTGGAAACATCATGTTTACATTGAAATGTGAAGTGGAATTTCGACTCAATTAATCAAAATTCATAATAATAATGCGACTGTATTTAATTATAAGACGTAAGTTAATAAGACAAAATTTTAATTAATGAAGTCGTATATTTCAAAAACAACAGTTTTGATTTCTTTATAACTATTTAATTAATAAGTGAAAATTTCGCGGTATTTATGTCAATTTTCTTTCTGATAAGTCAAAAGTTTCAGACGATGTGGAATTAATAAGTTGAAATTACAAATTTCGAAATTTCAACCGAAAAAATCTTAATTTTTGAGTTTAAAACTCTAGGCGGGGTCGTAAACCACAAGTACCGGAGTGTGTTATTTTATAAAGTGTAAATAACAATTACTACGCAAAATTGGTATGTGACATCATCAGATTGTCGTTGGGAATGATTAATAAACCTACTTTTTAATGTGCAATTTTGAAGTGACGTCATCACATTATTGGTGGGAATAATTAGACAAATTTTGGTTAGCCATCTACATGATATTACTAATATAAACACAAAATATTACAACAATCGGCCCAATACTTTCGGAGATTATCTGTCTAATAAAAATTCGTGACGGTAGACAGACAAACAGACAGACGGACAGATAGGCAGACAGACAGACAGACGGAAAAGGGGCACCTATTTCTTTATACTGCAGAGGTCATGAAAGGTCGAAAAAACTTAAAAGTAGAGAGTCGACCGACGGACTCCATTACAGGAGTATTGTAATTTAGTCAGGCCGAACTTTCGAGCGATACAGTGAAATTTTGGCTTTCTTGGTCAAATTCTAATGTAAGAATGTAACATCATGTTTATATTGAAATGGGAAGTGGAATCTCGACTGAATCAATCAAAATTAATAATAATAATGCGACTTTATTTAATAATTAAATGTAAGTTAAGAAGTCAAAATTTTAATTAATGAAGTCGGATATTTCAAAAATAACAGTTTTGATTTCTTTATAACTACTTAATTAATAAGTGGAAATTTCGCTGTATTTATGTCAATTTTCTTTCTGATAAGTCAAAAGTTTGAGACGATGTGGAATTAATAAGTTAAAATTACAAATTTCGAAATTTCAACCGAAAAAATCTTAATTCTTAAGTGTAAAACTCTAGGCGGGGTCGTAAACCACAAGTACAGGAAAATGTTATTTTATAAATGTATGTAGCATTTACTACGCAAAATTGGTATGTGACATCATCAGATTTTTGTTGGGGATGATTAATAAACCTATTTTTTCGTACTCTTGGAGTCATGAAACGTCGACAAAACATTAAAATAGCGGATCGACGGATAGATCCTATTACATTACTTCGTTCGATTACGCTCGGAAGGTAAAAAGGAAAAACGACATCTCGAGTTACCAAGTCCTTAGTTTTTTTCTAAGAAGCTTTTTAAAAGCACTTAAGACTCGTTTCTTTCCAAGAATAACTTAGTCTTAGATTATTATCAATAGATTTTATCTAGAATCAACACTGCAAGCAAAAACCAGTCAAAGTATGAGATTAAACAATCCGTAAATAATGAAGATTAAACCGAATGCTAGGAGTTAATTTTATTTAAATTTTTATACAAATGTAATACCTGAATAAATGCTTAAGATAATAGTGCTAAATTTAGATTTACTAAAAATATAATCGACCATAAATCAATAATATTCACATTTGAAAAAAGTCAGTATAAAGCTTATAAGAGTGATATCATATTGTCCTCGACATTGGCATGTTATAAGTTAATGTAACATATAAATCAACAATAAAAAAAAAATGACGAAAATTTATAAACACACTTGTTCGATGTAAAATGTTATTGTTCAGTTTTTAATTATGTCATTAACCATTTTTTAATGTAAAATTTTTAGAATATCTGTCGATATTATTATTTTTTTATAAGTAATAATATAAGTTCCTTTTGTCATCGTCTATTATGTACAACATTATTGCCAACATATCAATTAATCTCTGATTTTTACGATTTTTTAACTGCATCCTCTATACGTAGGTAAATTTATATTAAATTCAGCCAAAATTATCGTTAACCACAGGAACAATGGTCAGATAATGCAGCCGTCGAACACGTAAAAGGGCTATCTGCCGAATTATGACAATGATGAGTTCTTTCACTGCAGTTTTAAGAACTTTAAAATTCATTGTCTTGTTAAAACCGAAGAAACAATTTAAAAAATAGAAAAATAATTTAAAAAAATAGATTGTTTTGAAATTTGACAAAACCTTACAAAACTCTTTGGATTCGTTCGTAATAAAGCACAATTTGACAAGAAAGTCTTCCTACCTAATGTGGTGTGACCTATGAGTCAATGCACAATATCTTAAATAAACAAAATTTTGATAAAAGTTGTCCCTGCAACAGCTTTGTATAAAGTAAACAATATTCAAAGTTGTAATAGTGACGTAAATATTATTTGTGTTCATAACAATACAAACAGTGACGTTTCCAATTCCTGGAACACGAAACTGTAGCGAATTAATATTATTTTTTAAGGGAAAGAAATTTCATACAGCTTCCGACTCTCCCGAAATTTTAATATAATTTAGAAATATCGTGTAGATGATAAAACGCTAAGCAAAATTTGTCTAATCATATCCATCAATATAAGGTCACCTGAAAATTTTGCATGGTAAATGTTATTTAAATTTTTACAAAACAACATACTCCTACACTTATACTTGACAATATTTTGAACGATTAAAGCCCAAAGACTGCACATTATTGTTAAACTGGGACGATTTTGAACCTGAGATATATATAGAAATATGTAAGCGAAAGCCGACGTAAACATTCGCTAATTGAATCCTGTGCACCTTTATTCTCGAAAATTTACGTGTAAACATCCAAGAAGCTAGTCATAAACGCAAACTCATATAAAATAATAATTAAAGCGCTTTATACAATGATCTTTCAATAAACAAACCAGCGATAACAATCCAGGTTTGTTCACCAAACACCTTTGAACTTCCATGAACATAAATTGTCAAGTGACAAAATTTCGACTTAGTTTCCGAATCACTGACAAAAATAGCGAAGTTTACATTCTCTTAATTTAACGCGCTTTTGAAAATACACCGGCAGTGTTGACAACCAGCATGTAATCTCCCACAATAAAAATTATTTACCGATCGTGCACACCAAGCAAAGCAAATTTACCTTGTGAATTGTTAACCCTATCGGTGAAAGATAAATCAACACCGTGTTCGTAAGTATTGACGCATTTTTGCCCTCCGACGAAGCTCTGCCCATCTGGACAGCATTTGTGGATGCATCTGACGCCGTCATAGCAGACTGACAAGTCTTCGTGACACCCTCTGGCTATCAGAGAACTACCCTCGTCTTTGTCAATACAAAAGTTGCCTTCTCGGAATGTGCCGGCTCCTTCTATGTACAAATTCCCCAGTTCCATCCTGTACCCGGTGGTGAGTTTATAGTCCACTATGAGCCTACACTGCGGCAACCCTACTTTGACGAAATTCTGCGTGATGAAGTCCTCATCGATGTTTTCTTTCCAAACACAGGAATGAGTTACAGAGTGATAAAAATAGCCAAGAGGACAGCACTTAGGGTAAAGGTTTACGGGGATTTGCTGCTCCTTCACCACCGTGTGGTTGCTAATTTTGTATTCAGTGATGTTCGGAAAGGTGTCGACGCAGGTACCCTCCTCGGCATTTTTCAAATAGTTGGTCTCGTTGGTGAAGATTTGCAGTCTCTTATCATCGTCTTTATCACAAACGTAAATGGAATTATTTTTTCGCAAGTAACTATCAGCATCACAACACTTTTTGTGCTGCAGTGTTGCGTAATCTGTGTTCAACACAAGTAGAAATGTTATTGTAAGAATGTACATTTTCCCAACGATTCCTTCTCACAGCCACATTGTGTGTTTGTGCTAACTTGTTGCCAACGCTTACACTACTAAAACTCTGGTAAGATGTGCGCACCATTATGAATGGTTACCGCCGGGGGAGGCTCGGAGGGATTTCGGACTCTGCAACTAATTATTTAAAAATTAATTAGTGTAGGAAATTGGTAAAGCTCGGACAGAATCAATATTTATCTTATTAAGGTGCCTTGTTTGCTCGCACAGTATTTGCAAATATTTTGTGTTTTCATAAAGCGTGTCGTCTAATTAGGCGGAAAGGACGAGTTCTTAGCTACGTGACATTTTTAAAAGTGAAAACTAGGAATAATTACCGGCGTGGTAATGAAGCGAGGAGCCCGAAGTGGTCAATTAGTGGCTAATCTAGAAAGACAAGCATTAACATAAAAAAACGTTGAGGTGTTTAAAGAAATGAACTAAAACAATCGAATCTGAGTTAACTATACCAAATATCGTTGTACATTGTAGACTTATCAGTTGTCAGCGATAGGAAGTTTATTATAAAATTAATAAATCAATAAACAAAGAACTGATATATTGCCTGTATGTCATAAAACTGGCTGGATACGCTCCATTAGAAGCTTCGTCATAATTTTATTTCCGTTGGAAAAGCCAATAACTAATTTCCTTGATGCAGCCTATTTTTATTATTTACGTATCAAAAATTTGCTGCATTTTTTTGTTAAAAGAGCTGCATAGAATAATAATACACAGTGAATAGTACGACACAATGCTGAAAAATTGGTCAAAAGTTTTTTAGACAGAAATTCCCTCGTCCCGGAAGTAAAATACAACATATCCATCTTTATCAAAACATTATAAAATTGGATAGTTTCGTGGATTATCTGTCTCACAAAAATTGGCACAGAGAACAAACGGCCAATAAACAGACAGACAGACAAACAGACCGACAAACTGAAATGGGAGACTTATTTTTTCATACTCTAGTGATTACAAATGATAAAAAAAAAATCACAATATCCGTTTAGCGGATGGACCCTTTTACGCTCGAGAAGTAAAAAAGGACCTAAATCTCCCATTAATCTATCTAAAAGCACTTTTGTTTTGACAAAATGTCAACACAACTGAAGTTTCGTGACTTGAGAAAAGTACTTGATTTAATCAACTTAACTGGCTTAAAGATTCTATTTATACATAGTGTTTTCTCTAATTTCTCTCCTCTTGTAAGGGCATTGCTACAGTAAAATCCACAGAAATTCCACTGTCTATAGCTCCAGTGTCGGATTGAAGACATGGGGGTCCACCGGGAAATATGATTTTCAGTTTTGCGGGTGATATTGGGATTTTCAAAAAATGATGTTATTTTTGGAATTTTGATGATACTACCAAGAAAAACAAACCTAGTAAAAAATTGTGGAAGATTATTTTGACAGAACTTCCCTCGCCTTTGGAGTGTGCTCCGACAAATTCCGTTTCTTTAAAAATTATAAAATCAGATTTTGCGATTTTCGTTTTGTGATAATAATTGTTAATGTCTATAAAGTGGCGTAATTAACATCCCCGCAACTCCTGTGTCTTTAAATATGAATATCTAAAGCAGATAACTAGCGGGAAAAAATGTAGACATTCTCAATTTCTCAGTATATCCTTAACTTCAACCAAATTCGACTATTAGCACGTTTAGAATACAAGCATCAGCTGTTAAAAGAAAATTAAATTTGGTTAATTTTCTGTTTTCAACGCAAAGGAAAGGACTAACTGATTAATTCATACTCTGTTTTTTTCCCAAGAAAATTAGCAAAAATCTAAGATGACGGATAATTTTTGATTAACGATTTACCATGTTTCAAATAATCTTAAAATATTTTCATGATTTTACAGCATTTGATTTTTGCATTTTTTTTTTTTTTTCTAAACATCTGGTTGCTAAGGGTAAACATTCAACACGGATTCATAAATCACACACGCGGGAATATGTTATTTTATAAAATTTAAGAAACGTTTGTTCGGCAGAATTCTAAGATCATTTTTTAAGAAGCTATAAACGAAAAAATTTTGATTAACGATTTACCATGCTTACGATAGTCTTAAAAAACTTACAAGTTTTCAGAACTCCCGGTTTTACAATTTCAAAGTTAAATTGCATAATGTTGTTATACAATTTTGATTCTTTCCCCAAAAATCTGGATGTCTAAGACGACAATTCGACACGGATTCATAAATCACACATTTACGAGTATTCAACCCTATAAAATTAAATATATATAATACCAAAAAAAAGGGGGCAAACTAATAGTAAGTAAAATGGTACGTTTCACCCCACAATTCGTCATTTAATTTATTATAACGTGCTTTATTTTTTTTTTTTTTTTTTTAAGAAAATAGGCCAATTTTGAGGTTGAAGATTCTACATGGATTCAAAATCTTAGAAATCCACAACTTTTTAAAAAATAATCTTCAAAATGAAGTGAAAAGTTAAAAAATGCATTAAAACAAATTTCACAACAAAAATTGTCATTATGTTTTATAAAAACAAAAACAAATAAACAATTAAACATCTTCAACACCACACTGATCTGTTTACTTAAAAAATGATACAGTACCTACCTTAAAATAGCTTAAATCGATGAAAAAAAAAATGTTGGTTGAAACGTATCATTTTACTTTCTACTAATTTCAATTTAGAAATTTCATCTAAACCGTCCGATAATCCAATCGAAGTCCTTCAGAGGAAAATTGGATTTAAAATAACAAACAATGCTTTTGGAATCACAAAAATTTATATTTGGTAAATATAAATTAAAGAATTTATTATAAATTCGACAAAATTGTAAAATGATGTCATTATTGTTTTAGAAGAGCATAAACGAAAAAAATTTGATTACCGATTTACAATGCTTACGATAACCTTAAAACGTTTGCAAAATTTGAGAGGTTTCGGTTTTACAGATTCGAAGTTAAATTGCAATTTTGACTTTTTTTCTCAAAAGATCTGGATGTTTAGGATAAAAGCTCAACAGGAAATGTCCAGGTGTAACTTATTTTATAAAATTTAAATAATATTTACTACTGTAAATTTTGGAAATGACGTCAACAAATTGTTGGTTGGATGATTAGCCAAATTTTGATTAGTGCTTCACCATCTATACGATATTTCTAATACACATATAAAATTTGACAATTGATTGAGTAGTGTCGTAGATTTTCCGTCTAATAAAAATCCGGACAGACGGCTGACAGATAAACAGACAGACAGACAGACGGAAAAAGAAGTATAGCTCCCTTAGAAATAATGTTAAAATAATGAAATATAATGACTACTTAATACTTTATTTTACATCACTTTTAATTCCCGAGCGTAAGTTAGAGCAGTTTTGTATAATAGAAATAATCATATGAATAGCTGCTTACATGTTTTCTGGACATTTCGCGACCTCTAGAGTATGAAAAAGTAAGTCCTCCAACTGATTTTTGTGAAATTTTATCTGTAGGTTAGAAATATCATATAGATGATAAAATTTTGCATAGTAAATGCTATTTAAATTTTCTAATATTACATACTCCCCCTCTTGTGGTTTAGCAACCCGACTTAATTTTTACAATTATTTTAATTTAGAGTGGTCGCTTTGCATATGAAAATCTAACATTTTCAGTGATCAAATCAGGAACGGTTCACAACATTTCCCCGAAAATTTAAAAATACAGTACATATTTTTAAAAATTCGACAAATTTATATAAATATTTTAAGTTTATAATTTTTCGAACAAGCTGTATTTGCTCAACTATATTTCAGGGACGAGGAAACCTATGAAAACAACCTTAGACCAATTTTTTTAATTTTTTTTGTAAATCGTAACGGCCAATAATGAAGCTAGGATTAAATACAGGTCGTCCGAAATGTCGGGAACACCTTTAAAAGTACATTATCGAGGAAAGAGAAACTACTAAAAAAAATCCATTACCAAGTTGCCATCGATAGTAACTTTGATGTTTAACTTTTGCCGTATTTAAAGGGGTGGTAAAAGAAATGTGGAGGATTTAAGTTTATTAGCACAAAAATTTACCATTTTAGACATGTTTTAAGTTTCTTGTTGTCGAAATAAGTCTACACATATTAATAAAAAAAGGCAAAATGGAGCCCCGCCCACCCACCCTGTCTCAATTGTGATGATTTTTTTATTCGTCGTGAGCCAAAGGGCCGAAGCTTAACTCCAAAATCCTTATTTCTCTACGAGAAATTAAAAACATGTTTTTGAGTATCGTGTTGTCTATATTATCTATATTAAGAAAAAAATAATTGCGGAATGTAACTGGAAAATCCTTACAATTTCTCTACAAGATCTGATCTAAATAGTAATGAAGTTTTCATTCGTTAGCAGACCTAGGGGCGGAGCCTAATTGCAAAATCCATATTTCCTTACAAAAATTTACCATTTAAAACGTGTTTCGAGTTTCTGAGAATAAAAAAAATCATAAAAATTGAGATAGGGTGGGTGGGCGGGGTTTATATTTTGTCTTTTTGTTTTAATATGTGTGGACTTCTTTCCACAACATGAATCTTAAAACATGTTTAAAATGGAAAATCTGAATAAAGAAATATCAATTTTGCAATTAGGCTCGACCCCATAATTGCAAAATCCATATTTCCTACCAAAAATGTATTTGCGACTTTCCGAACAGCCCATAGACACAAAAATGGCATAAATTCTAACACAATTTTATAATTTTGTTTTATATTTTCAGCAAATGTTTCGTACATTGCTAAAAATAAAAAAAAAAATACTTGATATGTTTTAATCTTTCACCAATATATCAGCGGATAATAAAATTAATGAAGGTTCAGTGTACGATTAATTGATTGCCATAAACGGACACCACCGAGATTTAACCTTAGTCAAGTAGCGCCCTCCACGTTTTCATCTATAACAGTTTTCGTTGCCGATTGTTGATTAAATCAAAGTTTTAATTTAATCAGCAGCATTTCTCCTAATTACCGAAAGTTAACTGCATTGTGAAGATTTTCTAGTGAGTAAAAATGATGAAAATAAACTGTCATTTTTCGCAAATTCGGATAGTCTTTTGAACCACAAAATTGGAGTGTTTTTAAAACTAAATCCTCGTTTTCAATACTTAATTATTTATTATAACAACTTATAAATCTAACAACTACCAATACTTAGAAATGTTTAGGTCGAATTATACTTCTTGTAAGCACCAAGCTTTCGACTTAACCGTAAGTGAATAGTTACAAGTTTGTTTTAGGCACTTCTTCACATAGTCGTCAACGTAAACTCCCAGCCTTGATGTTTGGAACCCAAGCCGATGTCCGCGCCTTGGTGACAAGCTACGTCCATTTTTAACAAGATTTTAATTTATTTTTGAGCAATATAGATGAAAAATTCCGTACAAAATGTTAACTTTGTAACTCTAGATTTAATTTTTTGTAACCACACCACATTGGTCAATGAATGCTTACCTCTTTTGAAATGTGATAAATACCATCCAGCTGTGATTGCAAACATCTGTGATATTAATACTCTTATTTTGAAATCTAACGAACCGTGTTTTTATCGTGATTTTGGAAATGCCCCCTATGAACTAATTGATAATTACCTATCAAATGTAAACTGGAATTTCTTAAACAATTTCTTTGATATTAATCAATGTGTAAGTGCTTTCTATAGTATAATCAATTATGTAATCGAAACATTCATTCCGTTAAAAAAATGTCAAAATAATAATAAATTTCCCAGTTGGATAGATAATTCTACTAAATCTTTAATTATACAGAAGAAAATAGCTCATAAGGATTATAAAAATCTAATTCACATTATGATTACGTGAGATTTGCTCAATTAAGATACGAATGTAAAGAGGCTATTCACAATTGTAGACAATTATATATTGATAAGGTGGAAAATAATATAATATCTAATTCAAAAATGTTTTGGAACTATGTAAAAGCCAATAAACAGAACAGTGGCTTTCCTAAAACAATGTATTATAATGACGTGGAAGCTCATTCTTCATTTGACATTGCTGACTTGTTTGCATCATATTTTCAATCTGTATTTAGTCATCCTGATCCCGATGTTAATTTCTGTGATACTTATTACTGTGATACTGCTTTAGATTTAAATTTTATTCATATCACCTACGATGATATCTTGAAAAAAGTGCAATCTTTTAATAACTCTAGTCACCCAGGACCAGATGGTGTTCCTGCGATCTTTGTTAAAAAATGTCTGCTTTCTCTGATTAATCCACTTCAAATAATGTTCAATAAATCATTGTCTTTATCTGTATTTCCAGATTTTTGGAAAAAGTCCTTTGTCTTGCCAATATTTAAAAGTGGCTCTAGAAATATTATTAGTAATTATCGCGGTGTCTCTAAATTACCATTTATTCCTAAGATCTTTGATGCAATTGTTGCAGATATTTTATTTGCTAGTGTGAAAGAAACTATTATTACTGAGCAACATGGCTTTTTCAGTGGGAGATCAACTACCACCAATTTATTTCTTTTTACGGAATTTGTTACTAATATGAATGAACTGGGATCGGAAGTGGATTGTATTTTTACTGATATTAGCAAAGCATTCGATTCAGTCAACATTAAACATTTACTGAATAAATTAAAACATTTTGGGATATTTGATCCTTTGCTTGGCTGGATAGAATGCTACTTAACAAATCGTAAGTCGCACGTTGAATTTAATGGCATATTATCAAAATCAATTGATGCTTGTTCTGGTGTTCCGCAAGGTTCCCACTTGGGACCTATTCTGTTCTTATTATATGTCAACGATGTAAAATATGTATTTCAAAACAGTCTTTTTCTATTATACGCTGATGACTTGAAATTGTTTCGAGCTATCAATTCTCCCTTTGATTGTATTTTACTTCAAAATGACCTAGATAAGTTTAAAATGTGGTGTTCAGATAATAGTCTTAAGCTTAACGTACACAAATGTAAATCTATGAGATTCTCTAAAAAAATTGTTAAAGTACCTGAATTCAACTATAATATTTCGGATGTAGTTGTAGAACAAGTAGCATATTTTTGTGACTTGGGTGTAATGTTAGATCCAAAATTAGCCTTTACTCTACATGTTGATAAAATTGTCAATAAAATTAATAAAACCTTGGGATTTGTTCTAAGACAATGTCAGGAGTTTACTAGCCTTCGTGTCTTTTGCATTTTATATAATTCATATGTTCGCTCATTATTAGAGTACTGCTGTATAATTTGGTCACCTTACTATCAGCTCTATATATCTAGACTTGAAAAAATTCAAAGAAAGTTCATTAAATTTTTATGTTTTAAACTAAATGTTATATTTGATAGGAATAATTACGAACTCATAGTTAAATATTTCGGGCTTAGTTTATTAATAAGTCGTCGCCATTACTTTGATTTGTGCTTTGTTTTTAATGTGTTAAATAACCGTGTAAATTGTTCCGACATTCTTAATCTGTTTTCTTTACATGTACCTAATCGCGCCACAAGAGGTTCTCATTTGCTCCAAGTCCCTTTCCATCGCACACTATATGCTCAAAAATCTCCGTTATGCCGCATGGCTAAACTGGCGATGGAGTATAATGATCTGAACTTTTGTGGTGTGTCAATTAATGTTTTTAAGAGGGAGCTGAAGAATGCTTTAAATATGTAAAGTGTAACTATTGTTATGATTTGTAATGGTATATTCCGTAAATAAACTATTATTATTATTATTATTATTATTAAAAGTTTAACGAGAAACTACTTAGTAGAAATCTTGTCTCGTAGGTGGTAGGTGCCGAACTGATATCTTATGGATAACACAAGCGCAAGGGGCTAGGACGGTCCTGGATAATAGTCGTCCAGATGCGTTTATTTTTATCTAGTGTATGTTTTAAAATATAACCAAATCAATGGAAAGAGGAAATTAATTATTCTTCCCCACCCACGATTCCCACACCTCTCTTGTAAAGTGGTACACAGGAGCGGCCTTATTTTTTTTTTTTGTTTCTGAAGATAAATTACGACCATCCGAAACACACAGAAAAACATGAAAAGAAGCTTATTTTGCTCTGAAAATACGATAAGCAACTTTTTTTAGAAGATTTAGAACATTATTTTTCAACAACAAACAATTTGTAACAAAGGCTTTTTAAATCCTGAAATTCTGTTACCCAAACGTAAATCGAAGATGAGAATCTGTAACCAATTTTATTAGAAGACTATTTTTAAAACTTGCATCGTAAAACACTGACAAAAGTTTGTCATAAAACTTTGCTTTAAAAATACACACGGTGTGTCCGCAGTTCGGAAGGAATTCGATAAAAACTCAAGATTGTTGGAATTTTGAGCAGCTTGGAATTTTTTAGTTCATGACGTTTACTTTCCGTTTTCCTCAGACATTTGAAGGAGGAAAAAACTAAATTAGTAAAAAATAAACACAGACTGGACCACCAGATTGTACAAATCTGGGCCAAAATAAGTAAGTGACCACAAAACCACAACTACATTTTAAAATATTTTTTCCTGTTTACACAAAAAAAATCTCGTGACACCATTATACTTGTTTTGCCTTTTTTCCTGTATAGACCGTATGTTTGAAAAAAAAGCAGTACTGTGTGATACGTCGTATTAAATAATTTTAAATGTATTCTACCATTTTTTTTCCGACGACATTTTTACTACTATATTTTTTAGAGTCCTTGTAGAGAATTTTTTCTGAATTTATTGATGTATTACGATTCGTATTTTGCAAAAAAGTTGTGGTAAAAATTAATTTAATTTTCGTACTATTGTTTTTTTTTTTTTGAAAAATCTAATTCCTCTGAATTTTAAAAGTAGACTCACTGAAATACCCTTAAATAAAAAAGTGCACAAAGCATTATCACTGACAATTATCTATAAAAGTCGCGAGTTCCGTTCACAAGAAATGTATTAATAAACAAAATGAAGAGCAATGATCGGAAGAATCAACCTTGCGCTATTCCAGAATCCAGACGTGAGGTTTATTTCATCGGTTTCTCACATTTGCTAGATACTAAGTACATCCCGGTTCCGTCCAATTAAACAATGCTAAATACGAAATCAAAGCATAATAATTCATTTAGGACGCTTGTGAAAATTAATTTAAATAACATTGCTTGATTTTTTGTTTTGTTTATTAAAACGAAAATTTTTCTGAACATAAGTCTGTACAGGCAGCCTCTTACAAGGACAGTACTAGAGCACGGAAACAAACAATCAAGCCGAAAAACCAACTGATAAGATAACATCTGAAACTATAAACATTTACATCCATGACCACTTTAAGGTTATATTAACACTTTTAAACAAACTAAATTAAACCAATGTCAATCACTCACTTACCCCATTTTTAGGGTCAACAAAGAGATCACCGCATCAGAGTCACAAGTACAGTATTCGCACATTATTAAAAAAGACTAGGAAAGCACCGATGGGAACACCGTTTCCAGTGCCACACCACGTGATGTTTTGCTAATAATAATTATATCAACTTGTTCTTAGGTTAAATGAAATGTGTAAACAACTAAATAGAAACAACTTAGAGCTGTCATTTTAGTGTTGAAAGAAGCTTTGTGGCAAGTCATAATATTTAAATAATTATATTAATAATAATTGAACAGGGAAAAAGCATTTACACTTAAAGACTACTTTGTATTTTAAGTTTTAAACGAGATTCCACTTTTTATAATTAATCGTCCGAATTACCAGCCTCATTTCCCAAATGTTTTGTTTCTGGTCCGATGTTCTCGAATTCAAATCGAACAACGCGGTAAACACAGGTTTAAAATTAGGAAAATCATGTTTTCACCTTCAAAATTAGTTTAATAATTTTTTCAAAACGACGTAAGCAATGTCCTAGTGAAGACAAATATACAGGGTGAGTCACTAACTTAAATTTATGAAAATATCTTAGTTATTTATGCATAAATATTTATTTTTGAACTTTTTTTTTCAGTTTAATTTGAATCTCACAGCAGGAGCTCCTTTAACCCCTAGTCCTGTTATTCTATACGTTGCTCCGTTCACAGGTGGCTCTGGTTTGTCCCCACCGAAGGCAAAAGTTCCAGTCGTTGCATATAATTCATCCAAATTTGGACCCCCAAAAGCCAGCGATGTTACCTAAAATTTGACAAAAACAACAACATTAACTTAAATGTAACTAATTGTGTACCTGTCTAGCTGGCATTTCTATCGTGTCTAATAACGTTTCTGGCTTACTCCCGTCTACTTTGATTATCCTACTTCCTTCAAAAACAGCGACCCATAAATTACCATCCGTATCTATAGTCATACCGTCAGGGAAACCGGGAACGTTGTGTTCCTTCAAAGTGAACCAGACTTTTCTCTCTGCTGTCAATTACAACTATTTAGTTTTTAAACTTGTGTAGGAAGTATTTATCTTACAAACTTTTCCTTCTACTACGTCTAAATCAAACCGGTCCACGGCGCCTTTCAGAGTATCAATGTAGTACATCTTCTGAGTTTTATCATTGAAAGCTAAACCATTGGAAGCTCTAATTTCACCAACATGAGGTATTAGTTGACGTTGTGCGTTTAGACTGTATAGTGTACCAACTGGAGGGATAGTCGTGATGTCCTCAGGAGGGGTTCCATAAGTACCTAAATTGATTTGATTCTTATAATTTATCCAAACAATTTAGTTTCATTTTGTACCTGTCCAAAGCCGTCCAGACGCATCACATTTTCCATCGTTAAATTTGTTCCCATTCGGCTCGCTATATAGCGTTTCGTTCTTGGTGAATGTGTCGCTCTCACCATCCCACGTAATAACGACTAGTTCGTTATTCAAAGTAATTAAAAACTGATCAGTTTTACCTGCCAGTGGTATTATAATCGATGGTTCATTAGGGGCTACAATGATAACAAGTGAGAATCTTGGCGAGTTTAAAAAAGCGATATTTACCTACTGAGACTTTGGACACTTTACTAGTTGAGGGGTTGTATTTCAGCAAACTTTTTCCTAATATATCGACAAAGTAAAGGACTTGGTTCTGGGAATCCCAGTGCGGACCTTCCCCCAAAACGCACCCTTCGGTCACACGTTCAATTTTAAGGACCATGTTGTACGATTGACATATTACTTGTAATAAATCACGATAATTGCTCTTATCGAGTGGTGGATTAAGTGGTTTGGTATCGAATGATAGATATGATATGAATTTCGTAAAGTAAACTAGCAAGGTCAACAAAAATTACGACGTCCTGGTCAAAATTATCAAAAACTAGAGTTGAGGTGTAAAAAATTAAGAATGTTGCATGTGTGAAGAGTGTGAAATATAAAAACGGGATGTAGATTTAGGGATTGTCGAAAATTAACAATGTGAAAATAAGCTTAACTGATGATTTTGAAACTTTGGACCTTTAAAATTTTAAAAAATTTTTAATATAATAATTTTGATAAGATAATAATATTGATTTAGCGATGACAGAACTTCTAGGTAATGTAGTTTATTCATACATATGTTTCCTAGTTCCAAAAGTTCACTACTAATCTTTACTTAAAAATGTGTCTCACAAAGCGCACAGAATTTGTATAATGCTAAGATTTGTCAAACAACATTTTAAGATGACGTCATTAATGTTTCGAAGGGAGTGAACTAAAAATGCCATTTATGTCTTGTCAAAATCACTGAGGGCTTGATTTTGTGGTTTCAGAGACATAAATTGTGATATTATCGCATTTTAATCATTTTTTCCAACAGTAGTATTAAAAATAAGCATGGATTATTCAACAGCAGGTTATATCACACACTTCGCATATACAAATGACTGCAAAATTATTTTTAACGAAGCTTCCACTGAATGATTTTTCTTCCTACAACTTTCGCACTCATTTTATATATTTATCTACGATAGTGGGCTACATTTTACGCCACAAATAAATCATTATGTTTATTTAAACTGATTTTAAACAAAACCAGAAGTTATAGATAAAAAGTGGTTTATAATGCCATGGGCTAATGCACTATTATCATGCTCGGCTAACCAAACTTCACATTCATGCGTTAATAACCGTTTTATCACACTCGTTAACGTAAATAACCATTCCTGATTTTCCTAATTGCGCGCGCACCTACGTGCAGCCGGTTTTACGATACTCTTGTGCAAACAAATCTTGATTGTGTATAGATAGCCTTAATTATGTGTAAGTATAGACTGGGCTGCTATATATATCCTATGGTTTCTATTCCGACAACTAACTTAAAATCCACTTCTGCTAAAATTGAAATGAAACGTCAAAAATCGCAAATCTGCGAAATTTAAAATGTCGCTAAATATCGTGCATCATTTAGACAACAGAGGACGGAGAGGACCTACGTTGTGTTGTGAAAATGACATGGAGAATTTTAATACTAGGTACACAATTAAATTAAATCGCCGAAATATTGTTCTAAACCTTCAAAAACCCACGCTCTTTTCGCATCAGAAATGTTTCAATTATTGTCTTTTTGCAGGCACAACATTTAAAAGAAACCACTCGGCATTTCTTTCGTCGGCCAGGATGTGATTCAGTCTTTGCATCCCAGGGTTATTAAAATACGCTCTACTCCACAACGGACTTTCCTTGAACAATCCCAGACGTTTAAACAAGACTGCAGAAAATAACAGTATTTCCGTTTTGTAAATTAAATACAGAGAAATGTGTCAAGAACAAACCTAGCTTTCGCAGATTCATAAAAAAAACACACTGAAAATTATAAAACCTTGAAAACCAAGTTGTATTTGTTTCAGTCGAAAACGAACATATATCAGAATAAAAATGCATAAGTTTTGTTGGATATACACATGCACATTATTGCTAGGCAAGCACACATAATTTTGCAATTCGTGTTTCCTTTGAGGCACTTGCTTTTTCGAAATGTGGGGCGTCAAACAAACTTCTTTTTTATGTTGATTATAGATTTTTGGGAATTACAGGGTGAAAACACCTACTTCCCGGACAAGAGCCCCGCTAGACGTTGGATTACACCCACCATCATTGACGTCACACTTTTCCTGCTGGAAACTTCTGTTTATTTATACATCATTAATACAAAAAGGAAAGTCAATTTAAATTAAATTTACAGTATTGTCCTAAAAATTTATTTGAGTAAGGACTAGTGAGACATAAAAGAAAAAGAAAATTTTACTTTAACTATCGAATTAAACAAGGAACACGTTGGTGTTGCCAGCATATTTTTTTTAACAATAAATTCCAAAGTTTACTGGACAACTTTTTTTCTCGACCGCTATTAAAACAAAAATAACATAAACTACAAATTCAAAAAACCTCCTATTTATTTAATTCAGTTTCTTAATTTTTAATTTTATTTACCCCTCTCATGTCCTAAAATCAAAAACTAGATACATGTTGCCGTACACAGGGTAGAACTGCATCCAGTCAACCCAAGACGAATCCAGCCGAGCCGAGCCGAACCGAGCCAAGTCGAGCCGAAGAAACGTAAAAAATCGGTTCTTTTTAGAACCACAAAAAGCATTCATTACAAATAAAAGATTAAGCAACCTGGAAAATTATTTAATATATAAAGTCGTACTTTAAGAGCGCCCCGGCTATCTGTGGTTTATGAGTCCGCCTCAAAATTGGATTTTGAAAATGTTGCAGTTTCATTTGCTTTGAAATTTGCAAACGTTTTGAGGTTATTATAAGCGTGGTAAATCGCTAATTAAACTTTTTTGTTTATACCCTCCAGTTGTTAATCCGTTTCCTATAATGGGTTGAAGAAGGGACATTTCGGCCCAAATATAAACAAGTGTGTTTTCGTAACGTAATGCATTGGAATGGTAGACAGTGGCGGGATATGGGGATTAAAGTATGATTCATTATCGTATTCAGAAAAACAAACTCTACAAGAATCTCTAAAAAAAATAGCAAAACAAGATTTATAGGATGTCATTTAGCTTCTTACATTGTCACTGGTGTTATTTATGTATATTTATTTCAATGTATAGCGGTTATCACAAATAAAATTTCAGAAAATCTTTTTCTTTTCATTTTTCAAAGAAACAGGATTTGTTGAACTATACTTCAAGGGCGAGGGAAGTCCTTCTACGAATTCTTTTATTCGATCTTGTAGTTTTTTCCAGTCATACATTACAAAATAATAAAAAATCTAGATAATTATATTATATATTAATTTTTTGTTTCAAACCGTTCAACGTTTGCATATCTGTGCTCGGTTTTGACACAATTTTTCTGTTAATATAAGGAATTAATTTGTGCAATTAAGTTCACGTACTCTGGTAACACTTGTGGATATTTCTACCCTAGTGCAGTGGTGTGCCAACATTCTATGCGAGAGTGTTTGCTGAATATTTTTGCATTCTCAAATCGCCATACCAAAGTAAGTACTATCGCTGGTTGTTTTTGCCGTCTATCAACGTGTTTCTTCACGGAGGCGAGTGACTGTGGTTTTATAATTTTCCCGCCTGGCGGCGGGAAAATCCCCGAAAGGGGTAAGATATTATAAGAGTATCTTAGTAATTATCATTTCTGTAATTTCCTAGACTTTTTAAGATGGAGGGAATCCCTGAGTCACCTCAGTTTCCATCCAAAGAACAAGCAATAGTTTTAACTGCAATCAATGATACGAAACTGATTGAATACGTCCTGGCTATAGGTAATGTAGTTACGGCGAAAAATGTCCTTTTTGCATCTCGTATGTCAAATGATCGTATTTGCATTTATTTAAGCGACAAATCTTGTGTTGACCAGATTATTTCTGAACACTCGACTATTGTTGTTAATGATAACGAAGTTAATGTACGCCGTTTGATAAATCCGGCTAAGCGTATCATATTTTCTAACGTTTGTCCTTCCATTCCCCACATTGTTATTGAGAACCTTGTCAAGCAAGCAGGTTTTGTCCCGGTTTCCCAAATGTCGTTTCTTAGAGCGGGGATAAAGTCAGATGAATACAAACATGTTTTTAGTTTTCGGAGACAAATCTATGTACAACCTGATGACACACGAGACTTACCTTCATCCCTAGTTGTAAAGTATGAGGAAACAAACTATCGCATCTTCTTGAGTTATGATAACACTTGTTTTAAATGTAGACTCGCAGGCCATTAGCAAATGATTGTCCGAATATTACTACAAGATCTGGTGTCGAAAACGATCAGAATGTTAATACCAGTGCACGGTATCCTGATACTATTCCCCATGCCCCAGTATTACCAGAAGTGGGAAGCAAAAGACCCAGCACGGATGATAGTTTAATTGGTTTCGATCCTTTGGATCTATCACTGTGTTTACCCTCTGACGATAGTGATCCTCAACGATCGCAACAACCAAAAAAAATAAAACCCTCAGACTCTGTCGAAAGTTTGACACCAACAACTGATCTGTTATACCCTGCCAAAGAATTGCTAGACAATGCTCAGTACCCACTTAGCTTCGTGCAGATGGTTGAATTTATGGAAAAAGCATCAGGAGAAACGAATATAATGGCTTTAGTTCTTAAATACACAGCTGATGTCCAAGGGCTTATTGGAATGCTATATGATATCTTTCCAATAGTCCAACACAGAAGCATCAAGAATAGGTGTAAAAAAATTCAAAAGAAAATAAAAAAAGCTTATGAAACGTATCAGAAGCCAACAGATGTCGAAACTAACCATGAAATTATTCAGCAAAATGTTCAAGTTCAAGAATAAAATAAATAGTAATTTTTTTCTTGGTACCATAGCATACTCCAATGTAGCATCTCTACAAGCCAAGTTTAACGATGTTGTTGTATACGTTACTGATGATCAACCAACCTTTTTAATTCTAAGTGAAACGTGGTTATCGTCATTAATCACAGATTCCTTGATATCATTACATGGTTACACAGTTTTCAGAAAAGATCGTGAAAATAGAGGTGGGGGTGTGTGTAATTCAGTGGCGGCTGGTGGGTCAAAATTTCGGGTCGGCCAAATATTTTGAGTCTACACCTTGGTGTTATATATTTTCGTAATGTATGGCTGCTACTCATTAACCACTGACATTTTACGTGCCAGGATGTACAAAACATCTCAAATGTTTCGACCTGTTAAAATAATTTTTTATAGGAAATTGACAATGTCAGTTTGATTCCAAATACTATTAATCCTTAATTCTACTTGTTCTGCTTTATCATTAATTGAGAACCACC